TAGGAAATGCGTTTTTCTAAGGTACATAAACTTTTGGGATTGACTATAGCCAATACATCCTTAAAACAAGCAACCATGCGTAAACTTAAACGACTCGGCGTGCAGATGTTAATATAAATGAGTTTAGAGACGGAGGGATAATTGTCAACTGAATGAAACATTTGTAACGGAAAGAGTTACCTTCTTATATAATACGCATTCTTCCACGTAGACTTTCGCCCGAGTGAAAACCAGCGAAAAAAGAGAGTTTGACGAGGGCGAGGGTAACGAAAGAAACCGAAAGGATGCAGAGGCAGAGCCGAGGTTCTGGTTTGAAACCGGTTTCACCGTGCCACGGTCACGCGACTTTTCGTCCCGGTGCAGCCCGTTACGAAGAAACTGATCTCGCGACGATAATGAATGATTGCTATGCGCGTTCAACGAGGGAAATCGGACCTATCGCGTATGCACATCGAGTAACGTGAGATACATTCGGAATACGCGATGCCTGATAATAAACGAACGGAATCTAAAGATACAAGATCCAAATTCGTTAGTCAGAAGACTCATTCCAATTCAAAGGAACAGGCATATAGTCCGAAGATACCACTGCGGCAAATTTTATAACATTTGTCGACTGCGTGTTTACGATTATTCTAGTGGAGTCTCAGATCCCTCTTTCACGGACGCCCACGCTCGGCAGCTTTGGGCATGACGTCACCCTCGAGCTGCTAAACACCTACTGTACGATTTAAAGTTCAGACCTTGAGCCTGTGATATCATCCGCGATGACGACTCTCGGAACGTTTCCTCGTATTTGCCTCGGTATTCTCTGATCGTTGACTCTGCATCTTATCATCCGTACTATTCATGGTACCTGATCAAGGACTTAGGAATTCTTCCGAACGTGTAGACTGGATTTCTACACAATATAAACCATTTGCAATTGTCGATTTAATCAAGACAGAAACTTCTTATATTCTTCTCAAACAATAACATCAATTCTGATGTTCTCAGCAGGGAATTTCTTTGTAAACCTGCAGCGAGTTTTATTCGAATGAAAAAGGAAGGAAGTTGAGAAATCTACTACCTGTTTTTCATCGGGGAGACTAGATATTGCAACCGGTTTATACGATTCCAATTTGACGCGAAGATTGGAATGCAAGACTAATGGGGAACGAGTTAATTACGCGAGTACTCGGTTGAAATTTTTAACCCGGTTCCGTGGTCGAGTGTCTCCTCCGCGGAGAAGATACTCCGGAGTAATGGCATCGATCATTCGACGAGCGAGGGGCGGATAATGGTCGGTAGATACGTGGGCGCCGCGAAGTCTGTAACCCTGCGAAGTCGTCTACTCTATTGCCTCTAAATGAGAACAGCTATCGAGCAAAATCTACGTTTCCCGGAACCAGAAATCACAATTGCGAACTACTACTACTACTACTACTACTACTACTACTACTACTACTACTACTACTACTACATATCCAATCAATATTAAAATGTAATGCATGCATCGTACACGTACAAAAGATAAATGTAAAATTTATACTGTAATTACGAAATAAAACCCTGAACAAAAAAACGAAGCTCCATCCTTGTGAGAATATCATTTTCACGAGAGTATTATAACGCAAAGGAAGAAGAAGAAACAGAGAAAATTATGGCAACGGTTAGAAAGCCGAGCGGAACGAAGCTTAACTGGATGATTAGCTCTGTAAATATCCTCGACTCGTCACGCGGCGGTGAATTATTGGGCCTCTTGGTTTGATCGAGATCGCCTCGTGTTTTTCGTTTCGGTGCAACACGCGTCCGTTCCCGTTTCTCCCGCGTATTTTTAACTTCTTACGTTCGCCGGAATTCATGTAACGATATTCAGCGATCGGTTGCACGCCCGCGCGTGAGGAGGTTTCTGCGGCGCTCGGCGACGCGTACTCCCACACGTGCCGCTTCAATATTCATAAGTAAAAAGAATTTATTGCTGGAAATACGGACGCGAGCGCTAAATTCCTAGTAAAACGTTTAACCTCTTCATTCCTCCCTTTCGCAATCATAAAATAAAACCATTAGTTAGAATTATTACAAAATATGTTACGTTACTTCTAATCGTCTACAGGTAGCAAATTTTGATAAGCTTTTACGATCTTTACTCTGATAACATTTAATATCATGTATTACTCATGATGGATTCCGTCACGGAAGTGTACGGAACAAACGTGATCGTAACAGACGATTCGATTCGACCATTGCACAAGTTCGAGCGATTTTCGTATTACCGAACCGTCGTTACGAAACTGTACTTTTACATCGTCACGCTTCGACTCTACTTCTTATAACGATATTAAAAAGATATATCAAGTCTGAATTACTGGCCGCGATTAGCTAAGCAGATTTGCGATTACTTTCGCCCTGTTAAAGTAAGCGTACGAGTGTTCGACGAGTAGCGATAGCCAAGCGAAGACAGATAGCTACTATCTCTGTGAGCTAAGCATTCAATTTTATTTTCCAATTCGAGTTGTTCCATTGAGAATTAAATACAGATTAAACTAAATACGCTTTGGATAGTTGTTTCTCTATTCTGTTACAATTAATACGTGGAAAATAAGATTCGCGGTGTTCTGACACGAAAATCGTTCGTTCAAAAAAATGAGTCAGGTAGTTGTTGCATGGGATGAGTGTTGAGAGAAGAAGAGTAGGTTAACGCGAAAATGTTACCTGCTCGAGTGGAAGTTGCGGAGTCTCGACAAAAGGAAAATCCAAAGGTTCGAAAGTAAGGGACGGGTAGTGTGTCAAGATGGCTCGTTGCCATGGTAACTGTTCAGAGAGTACTCAGTCTCTTTTACATTTTCTACCCCCCGTAACAACCTCGTTGTTTCTTCCACCTTTTTCCCTTTCAATACATCGGTTCAACTGGTTGTTTAAGAGATGATCGATCAGCAGCGACCGAGATGCGTGTGATCGTTCGCAAACGCGTAACAAACTCGGAGCCGCGCGCGCGAGACGTACGATAATACACGCGACTAATCTCCCATCGTCGTTGCGCTTAAAATAGTTACGCAGAAACGAAGTCGAAGGGACCGGGGAGCCGGCTTCTTTCAACGCGTTCCGACGTTCGCTTCGTATCAATCGGCCAAATGAATTTACGTTTAATAGCAAGAGTACGTGAAAATTCGACAGATTACGTAGTTCTTACAAATTCTGTGCACATGGCACGCACACGTCAACGTGCGACGGGCCCATTCGTTATCGAGGTATAAACTCGTCGAGATGAACGTACCTGACAGATGAGAATCCGTCAGCTTCCCGTGGCCGCGGCTCGGGAACAACGACGCGGAGCTCCTGCGAATGCTCCTGGCATGCAAGGTTCGTTTCTCCCGACTTCGATCGAAGTTCAAACGGTTTTACGATCCCTCGGATAACACTCGCGAAAAACGAACGCGCGAAAGGCTGTTGACCGTTGCCCGGGCACGACACAAACTAAACTCCGGCTAGCACGTAACGTGTATACGCGTCGCGAAATCGATTGTAAATCCCCGGCACCACGCCTGCGTTTACCAACTTCCCCTTGCTCCACCTGGTTCGCACTGAACTGCAGCACGCACCCGCGTCCGTCCGGAACGACCGCGATGGTGCTGCCTTCTCGCGGAGTTCCAAACAAACGCGCTGCTGTTGACGGTTTTTCAGCGACTCAGCAAGCACTCCGACTGATCTTATCATTTAAACATTAAAATACCCATTCACCTTTTGCTATTCTGGATAGCTTTATACATTTATGAATCCTGCATATCCAATTTTCTCGTAAATGCATCCAATCCATAATCTATCGACACTTACGATTTCGTTTAGACGCGTTATCAAATGTCTTTAATACTTCAATATTTTCCTCTGACTCGTTTAAAAAGACCAGAGAAAAAACAATTATTAAACCAGTAAAAAGAGTAGATGTTTCCTAACTCGTTTTCCTCGTTTAAATTCAACAGGCGTCACGTACGAGAACATGAAATATAATGCTATTTTATTTACATAGTTACTCGAACGAGCGTACACAACACGGCACGATACGCGCGCATAAAATACTTGTCCGTGTGCAAATTCTTCGAATGACATCATGCCTTATCCCGAGTAGTCGTCGACCATATTTTAAAATCCCAAGAACGGTGTCAATATCATTACCTTTTGCGTAAAACCTTACGAAGTTGTTCTGTAATCCTTGATTTCGCAACGGGCATTCACGGTACGAGATAATATTAAAAGCCTCTCTCTGTTTGTTCGTATCGAAAGGAAATTCGATGTCAAACGTGACGGTGACATTGTCGAAAACCGACATTAAATATTCCGTGCGTGCACGGCGTCGTTTAACCGGATCAAACGCGATAACGATCGCACCGGGCGATAAGTAGAAGTCTATTAAGAAGACCGCGCGTGGGCGGTGTTGTTTGAATTACTAGACCCTAACGTCTGACCACAGCTTCGGTATGCGATCTCCGGGGAAACGATAATTGAAAAGAGTCTGGCCCGTTAAACATTTAAAAATACTGGAACGTCTGTGAGAACCGCGCCATGTACCGCTATGAAACCAGGGAAGTATGTGTACATTAATTACTTACTCGGTATCAGGTACAGACGTGATCATGGAAGGTATGCGTCCGTTGTGGTCCATGAATCGATTAATCTCTGGCTCCTCTTGAACGGGCGTTTCGTATACTAGAGTTTCTACCATCGAACCTTTGCTGGAGCCGAAGGAAACTCTGAGGAACAAAAAGCATGTCTCGGTTAAATACAATAGAAAAAGACCGATTATCGCAAACTACGCTAAAACAGTATAAGTCTGGGGGAAGTTAAACATGAATGGGATAAGATAGCGAAGGAGCGGCTATCAGAATACGAAAAATATTGGTAATCGTGTGGAGAAAAATAGTTGCCGTAAACCTCAATTTCCTATCGCGTGACAGCACTCGAAGCAAGTGAATCGGACACTCGGTAACCGCAGCAGCAGGCGGTCCGATATCAAAATCAAAATCCCGCGATCCAGGGATCGAGTTACGCCGATCAAGCGCGGTCGAGATAAAGCTGCGACCGTCTGCAGTCTATCTTACACAATTGCAGAATACCGTATCATCAAAATTTAAAAAGAAGAAGAAACAGTTTTATAGTTTTAAGTATCTTTTGTTGCCAGTATCGCAGGCGTTTGGAATTTTCATTTTTGATAGGTAAAACCTGGCGGCTCTGATCCACGCTACAATGGTTATCAACACGGTGCTGCCGCGCGGCGTTTGTTCAACGAGACTTAACTCGGCAGGCTAACGCAGAGATAAAGATGCGTAAGTTAGCACGTATACGAATGACCGTGACCTACCAGACGTGCAAATGCCACGGGAACTTCAACGAGAGTAAAAGACAAGTCTTAAACCTGTCTAAATCGCTAATTGAAATTCCTTTCTAGAACAGACAATCGTCGATGAATCATTTGTAAATAAAATTAGACGGGGCGATATCTCGGTGGTCTCTGAACCTCAGATAATGTCATCCACCTTGACAATGAATGAACTTGCTCCGATTTTTTTCTTCCGAAACACCAGCCGCGATCTAAGCGAAAATATCGCTTGGATGTCATTTATCTTTAGCGATATCATCGAAAAAAATGATATTTATCGCACGATTAAAAAAATGAGTTGATCGAGAATTAATCAAGATTAATACATACAATAGAAAAGTTTGATCCACTTGCATCGTTATATCAATCATTACACGAAACATCGTGTTAATATCTATTAAATGAAATACTTCGATATTTATAACTTGGTGATAGAAATTGGTTAGGATCGAGGGAATGAAATTAGAAATGTGGTCTCTCGGCCCTCTTGAATTATCTCTATTTAGTCTCGTCGGGGACCTTACCTCTTTAGACTAGTGTGCTTCGCTCCATTGAAGATTTTGTTCTTCCGATCGCTACCGACGGTACTCGCGTCACTGTTTATACTGTACAGACTGTCGTCTTTGGTTACTTTCGACGTATGCAACGTCGACTTTTTTACCACTGTGCCGTTGTGCTTCGGGCTGTCGTTGACCAGCCCGTGCTGATCCTCGTTCTGCTCCTCGATCTTCGTGGAGACGATCATCCTGCCGGGGTCGTGGTACTTTTTCGGTGAAACGATGACCGCTTTGCCGGCCGGCTTCGAACCGATCGGAGGTCGTTCGCGGGAACTCTTCTGCAATTTACTGGCACGGTAGCCGCCCTGATTCGAGTCGCCCGGTGGTGGTTTGTCCTCGGTAGGCAGCATGTACGACAACATCGTTCTTAATGTCTACGCACATGAAGAAAAACAAAAGGTTCTCCTTGTCTACGAAACAAATAACTTGGCGCACGTCGGAAATCGGTCCTTTTTATAAGCACGTGTAGTCAGGGACTCGGAACGGACGTAAGAAACGCAGGGTATCGTTAGTGGGATTGCTGGGGCAACGGAGTAACACCAACGCGGAAATCGATGCGCTGATTGCTCGCGTACTTTTCTGTTGCGTCCGGTCTGGCCCGAGAAAAGCAGTTGCGCTTCAATCACCAATTGTAACTAATTACACCAGTAGCCGTGACTTGGTATCCGTTAACGCTTCAACGATTGCTTTCTTTTCCGTATCAAACCGTAACCGTACAAACGATTGATACTGTTGTCGAATCATAAATCAATATTTTCTCGACCGTAGAAGAAGGCCGGGCGAACGGTATCTTCGGAACGTATCTGAACTTCATTCACGTCCGCAAGAACGCTGGTTTTGGAGCCGGTTCAAGCGGTTCTTCGACGTTTGAATTTCTGGCAACCGGAGAAGGAAAAAGGCGCGTATCGAAAGAGAAGAGAGAGAATCACGGGAAACCGTGACGGGAATCCAAGACGTTGGATCACGCTTGACCACATTGGATCCCGTTCGCGTTCACGCTCAAAGGATGCGGTAGGATACCGTGACTCACCGATTGTCTCCTGTCACTTGAGATTTCCGTGTCCCCCCGCACGATCTCGCTTATGAGAATCAATTAACTCGAGCAAAAAGAGTTCAACGAGATCGTGCTATTACAACCAAGACTGCCTTCATGCGAAATAAAACGTTTAGGAAATGAAATCCGAAATAAATCTTTAGACTCTCTAATTACGAGCGTGCATATTTTATATTTCTGGTCTAATTATAATTTTTTGTGGTCCGATAAAAAAATACCGCCGAGATCGATGTACCGGCGCATTGTCGATCGAAATCGGTAAATTGGGCCAGGTTTAACGAGGGAACGTTGAATGAGGATCTGGGTATGAATTCGCGCAGTCTGCCGTGGAATTAAAGGGGGGGAGATGAAAAAAGCTGTGAGTACCATTTCATTCTTCGAATACTTACCCCGATACCAAGGAGCTCTCGAGACGGTGCTTTCCGAAAGGCTCGCGTGCAGGACTGGCATTTGGGCTACCTGCAACATAAACGCGATATCACGTGTCAGAGTATCACCTAGAATTCCGAGACCTATTTTTCAGCCTCGATATTTCTCAACGTTATAATATACCAATAATTAATTAACAAAAACAGTTATGCCTGACTGGCACGAGTGTTTAGACTATGTTCAATATTAAGTACATGGTTGTACTTTTATATTCTCTTACGACAGCCATAAAAGATATCTCAAAGCGTAAATTAATATTGATTACATGTTTAATAATACTGCACAGCGTTTATCTTATGAGTCTGTGTTAGAAGGAAGAAAGGATTGGAAAAAGAGGAGAGTCAGGTTTTTGAATGGGGTAGCAGGCGTGGCACACGAGAGGAAGCGATCTCGTCGGTTGAATAGGCACCTGTTTTCGCAGCCAGGTGACACGAACACACGCGACCTGTATCTGTATGCAAACGCGTGAGAACCTCGAGATAGATAGACACACCGAGGGCAATGACTCCTAGAACGGCGGCGGGTGCGCCGACAGACGAATGTCGACATCGAATGGGACACCTTCCCCGTCGCGTCTTGAAAAAAGAAGAAACTGTCCGAGGTTCTTCTGCCCTCGAGATTTCCCGTCGCGAATCTCCGCGACGAACCCTCTGTTTCTACTCCCTTCCTCACGTTTGTTTTGTCAAAACTATACGCAGTGTTTCAGAGGATATTCTGTACACTACTAATGTATTAAGTTACGTTCAACAAGTCCGTACAATTTATCGCGCTTTATCTAATTTCATAAAGGAAATGTTTTATCCGCATACTTACGATACGTAGAAATCGTCGAAGGTTGAAACGCTGAACGCGTCGAGGAAACGTAATTAGAGCCGCGGTACGAAGTTGGTACGCGACGGACTCGGTGCAGTTCGGTGCATCGAGGCACTAAATTGATAAATTTGCATGACCCGCTGCTGGCTATTCACGGACACCGTCGTTTTACGACGCACTAACGATCGTCAGCGCTCGCCTTTCGTGAAGAGGATCGTGCTACGCGATTCGTCTCGTCCGCTTTCATCGCCGGCTAAACGATCTAATTGTCGTCAAACTGGGGAACGACTGAGGGAATCTTTTGTCGTAACTATTGCTCCAACAGTCAATTGTTATCATCCTTATCGCTGCTTCTATCTCCGTTCTTTTTTTTGCAGAAAAGAGCTACCTGTTGTTATCCAACCACTTGCATGTAAAGTTGACGTCATCAGGATTATGGTTTTCCAAAAATTGAATGCTTCTCATGTTCGACTTTTGTAACACGTACGAGCGGAAAATTGCAGAAGGCAGAAAAATTGTACAATTCTTAACGCGAGAATTTGCAAACGAAATATTTCTCCATCGATCAGGAATTGTATTAGCATAACGTTTAATGGGATGAACTTGAGCACGCGATGTTTGCGTAACCCAGAGACGCTAATGATAAACAAGGAGTCCTCCACCCCTTCGCTGTTGAACATTTCACGTACCCGATGATATCGACATTATTTATCACATCAAGTAGGTGTCTCGGCTGTGAGTAGAATCTGAAGTTCCATTCACGATTGATCGTAATCAAGGTGACCAGTCATGCGAGAAACCTGTGACTAGGAGCGATCGATCAAATTTCATCCCGAGTCCGACGCGAGAACAATTTTTTAGATAAACAACCGTATCGCGATGCTCAATTTAATTCGTTCATATTATTACACGCATGGAAGCCAGCCAGCGTGTAACGTGTACGTTTGGTTACTCTTCGACACCTCCCCAGAATTCTAGCGATCATGATACATAAAAAGGGATTGAGAAAATGCTTATTGTTTCCGGCCACGAACTTCTAACGTTACATGGGACGAGAGTTCCGGCAGCGTGACTTCCTGCCGCGTTCGAAGAGGTTCCGCGAGGAAACTAATTGCCTACATCGACCATCGAATCCAAGCGTTGTTATTTATCGCACGCATTTGTAATAAAATAAGCCAGACGGAGGATGAGAATTGATTAATCGCATTAATAAAACCGAGGGATATCAAAGTCCTGTTATACGCTTCCACGTTTCAATTTAACGATGTAAAAATGATGAAAGAACACGGGTAAGAGGAGAGCGTACGGGCGGTCTTTAACTGGAATCCCTACACGGATACGTCTCGGTGATTAGGTCTAATGTTTTCGAATCATTTAGTTGGAAATAAATTGTACAACGTCCGTGCGTGTACGGCTGTCGACGACGCGGACGCGAAATAAATGATTCCCACAAGTTGTGGGAACCCGGCGCGTTTCGCTCGCCGTAAATTCAAAACCGCCTCGCGCCTCTTAAAGATCTCCCGCGTCCCTCCCAAGTCGGCGATAAATTTTCAACTCTTCTCCCGTTCTTTTGTTCCTCCAACAAAATTACACCCCTTTTCATTTCTCTCAACTCGTCCCACTCGTCTTATCCCTATTGTTGTTCCAGCCCACTTATCGCTATTATCGTTCCGATTACTTTTAATGCGATCCAATCGCCATCGATGCGTTTCGAGATCGTGAACTCTCAACCTCCCGCAGAATATAATGTACGCGAGACAAAATATCGATATAGTCAGAGATAGTTTTTTAATTGAAACGCGGAGATAGCCGAAGAATTTAACGAGTATTCCTTTGAGAGTACGAACCAGTTCTAAGAATATCGGAGTGCCCATCTCGACGCTCGAGGGAAGAGGAAGTGTGCGCTCTAGAGGAGAGCGTAGACTTGTCACGACGATCCAGATCGTGGTCGGTGAAAAGGGAGAAAGATAACGGAACTTGACCGGTAACATCCGTCCACGCGTGTTGGTTTTAATGGTGCACGGCGATGTACGCAGACCGGGAAGAGATCGTCTAATAAGCCGGCTTAAAAAGTTTGTCCACCGATCGATGGGCACGTAACGATCGGTTACGATTTCCGTTCGTTACCCTCTACTGCCTCTCGTCTCTTTTTCCCATTTACTCTAGAAGCCCGAATGTCTCTCCTATTTTTCATGCTCGATGTGTCCCCGTCATGGGTATTAACGTAACTGTAGTACCGAGCGAACCGTAATACGAGTATACTTCTTCGTGCCACCGAAGAGAGATTACTAAAGAGTTGCAGCTTCATGGGACTTCACGTCGCTCGAAAAATTTGACGCTCTTTGAATATATCGCCGCCGAAATAAGAAATAGAAAACAAAACGCTTGTCAGTGTTGAACAGTTGCCAGATACAAGAAAAGTCCTATGCAATTTCCTTCTAACTCCACCGAAAAGACTGAGCGTAAGAATATACGAATCGAGATTATATCCACCGACGTCCTTACGAATTTTGTACACGCGTCGACACCAATTCATTTATACCAGCAAAAAATTATCGATCAACCCAGCAATATAAGATGAGAAGATTAAAACAGGAGAAGAATTCTTTCATATGCATTGCGAATGTACTAACATTTTAAATATGAAATGGCTAGTATTTCACACACCTTGTAGTCTTCTTGGCTGCACGAGAATTTACCCAGGAGAAACGGGTTCGCGGATAATTAGATATCTGATATCGTTCACCGTGGTTGACTCGACTGATTTTTACTTCTCGCCCTAAGCACCCGACAGATCGCTTGCCTTTGCGTGTTCACATCGCTTCCGCCTTTGAGTTCAACCCGACTCATCAGATAGCCGAGACTCAAAAACCGTTCTATCCCTCGGCACACAACCGACAACGAGAAAGCCGCAGAAAATATTTTCCTTCCTCTGTATATTTTACAAACACTCTCTCTATCTAGATGAGACAAAGAGTAAAACAGAATCCCCATTTTCCCAAGAAAAACAAAACCAAGTAAAAATAAGTTAGCCAGTTTTCAGTGGCCAAATTGTCATCGGGATTCTCGGCGGTTATAACTGAAATTAGCTGAATTGAATCTGGAGTAACGCGAAGAAAAACAGAATCCCTTATTTTTCCAAGGAAAACAGAATTAAGTATAAATTACACTCGGGAGCTTTCAAAGCGTAAATTGTCATCGGGATTCTCGACGCGTTATAACTGGGATTAGCTGAATCGAGCCCGGAAGGCTTGGCGTAGCTTTCAAGCTGTACTTTTGTCGCGAAACGCGCACAGAAGCGCGACCCTCGCGGCGTGGCGAGGGAGTCGGTGCGTGCACCCCTCCTGTGCAGCGAATATAAGAGGGAAAACGATCGCTAATGTACACAGAGAGTGATTCGTTAAGGGATACAACGGGCGCAACGGCGCGCCACGAGACGCTATTTTCATTTAATTCCGTCCGCTAAGAAGGGGTACAGTTCTCGTCGTTCGCGAACAACGCCGGGCTGTTTCACGCGTGAGATTCCGGAAACAAACAACCGGCCAGAAAGCTCTTTACTGTGCCTAGTATAGATCTATAAACATTTTCGTTAAAAACAGTTCGCGGTTGTTCCGGCAAAGTTCTATCTGTATAATTGCTATGTTCTGTAGTATATAAAAACGAGACAGTAATTATTTTATAATTAAACTGTGGACTTTTATACAAAACTTAATTGTGAGAATTTCCAGATCATTTCCCGATCAATATTAGGTATAAAACTATAAAATGGACTGCTGTGAACTCCTCGAAATGCAAGCATAAGACTCGAACGGGTCACCGATTAAATTAATCTCTACTTCGGTAAGCTCGTTATTAAATAATACCAAGATTCGCGCTATCACTTATACCCAGTAACGGCTTTGGAATGTCAACATCCTGGTTAACGTCCTAAGCCGTTGGTCGGATTCTCGACATTAATCTTTTTGTCATCGAGCGATTGTGGAATATCCATTCTGCGCGCTGTACCGTATCGCGATTTATTAAATATTAAATGAATCATCAGTTGATAAATGGTATCAATTATTACAGCTATCTCAATCACTATGATGAAAAATATACTACCAATCAATACATGAATTATTGTATCAATTATTACATGATTGAAAAGATATTAAAAGAAACGTTGTATCAAGTATCGCATTAAACATTATAACAATTATTATTTCGCTGAATTATTG